TTGTTGAGGAACGTCAGCAATGCTGAATTCCCACTCATCCAATTTACAGTCGACCCCCTGCTCTTTGAAGAACTCTGACACATACTCAAAAATAACTTTCCCCATTGGCCCATGATCCCTCTTAGCCCGAGTGGCATTGGGCTTTTGGCTGTCCAGTAGGAAAGTCTTCCATCACATATACTCGGTAGTGATCATCTCGAAACATTGGAAAGAAGATCTGAAACACAATACAGTTAGTGAGTTAATCAGTGTCTAATATCCTAACAACCCAGATTAATATCTCAACAACCCAGAATAATATCCGACAAAGGACAACAAAATATCCTATAAACCCAGACCAATATCAAGGAAAGTCAGAAAAATATTCAGGAGTTGAAGACACTTACATAATCACATTTTTCCAAGTTTTCTCGTTTCAGAAATGGATTATTCTTGTGCAAAGAAATATACCCCGAGATTCTCGCCTTGTCCATTGGTTGTTTTTTTTAGCATCACCGACGGCATGTTGCTATTTAGAAGAGACAACAATATCAAATTAGACATTTTCAACATAAATAGGATCTAAGTAGTGAAGATAATACTTACCACATAGCTCCATGGGAAGACAATTCTCTTTACCATCTCCTTACGTTCTTCTTGGTGATTTAGAAATTGCCCGTATACGTATAGGACTTGGCTATGAACCCAACTTGTACGCTTCAATGACAAGATTTGGCAACCGCTAAGCTTGCCCTTTGGAGTTTCCACAATAAAGTTGTGACTGTAAAACACAAATGAAAAACCAGGTTAGTAGCCATGAATTAGACAGATTGAAATTGGCGATTAAAGAAGGAAACATGGTAAAAAACTAATATCCAAATGTATCAAACAATTATCCAGGAAAGCCACAACTAATATCATGCTGATCACAAACCAATATCCAGATATATCAAACGATTATCCAAGCAATTCACAACAGATATCATGCTGGTAAAGAACCAATATCCAAATATATAAAACAATTATCCAGGAAAGTCACAACCGATATCATGCTGTTCACAAATCAATATCTAGCTATATCGAACAATTATCCAGGCAAATAACAACAGATATCAAGCTGATAAAAACAAATATCCAGATATATCAAATAATTATCCAAGCAAATCACAACTGATATCAAGCTGATCAAAAACCAATATCCAGAAATATCAAAGAAACAATCCAAACAATACACAATGAATATCCAGAATCATAATAAATAATATCGGAAGCATGACAACTTACTCATTTTCAGATGTGGTACTAAAGATGAACTCAACCACTTGCCGTGCCGTTTCGTCGAGTTTCGTCGAGAGAGACTTTGCCAGAACGTACACTGATGTGTCGATTGGGTGGTGTTTCGACCTCTCGAAAAAAGGAGTTTTAATAGTTGCCTTCCATGCTTCTGGAGTGATAGAGTGCATGTACTCTGCCTCCTCCTGAGTCATAGGCCTCTCACTTATGAGGATATCATCGTCACTATCCTCCAGCATGCTCTGGCATGCTGCTGCTATAAGCTCCCCCTCTGATGGTATCTGCAAAACAATGCCAAAGGTATGACCATCTTCCCAGGCTAGTATAGTATCCACTGAATAAGAAAAAAAACCTCCAAGAAGAACAGACTAATATCCAAAGAAATCAAAACACATATCCTGGCTTCCCAGTCTACTATCCACAGAAAAAGAAACATATATCCAGGAAGCCTAAGCTAGAATTCAAAGTGCAAAAAAAAAAAAAAAATCCAGGAGTAATAGACTAATATATAAGAAAAAAAAAAAATATCCTGGCTTCCCAGTCTACTATCCACAGAAAAAGAAACATATATCCAGGAAGCCTAAGCTAGAATCCAAAGTGCAAAAAAAATATCCAGGAGTAATAGACTAATATCCAAGGAAAACATAACAAATACCTGGGAGAACATACTAATATCCAATGAAAAAGAGAGAAATATCCAGGAAGAACAGACACTACTCGTATCCTCACGAATTTACCGTAGACGGGGGTGTCTCTATACTCTCTTCAGCAGCAGCAGCGGTCTGGAGAGCAATCTGCATTACATTCACTTGACCAAAAATGGACTCCGTATGCTGAACCTCCGGATCAACAACAGGCACCTCCACCTCAGTACTCGACTTAACAACAGGCACCTCCACCTCAAGCTCGACAATTGACTCTGGCTCTACCTCAGTATCGACAACAGACTCCACCTCCACCTCATCACTCGGCTTAACAACAGAGGCCTCAACATCAACCTCGACAACTGCCTCTGACTCAACCTCCACATCAGTAGTAGACTTAACTGTCTCTGACTCCACCTCAGGCTCGACCACTGTATCTGGCTCCATAACAACCTCAGGCTCCACCTGAGTCTTCTCACGGGTTCTCCGAGAGTACACGCGGCTGAACATATTCTTGCCTTTCACGTATCCCTCCTTTTCCATTTCCCCTTTGGTCACGGGAACCAATTTCGCCAATCTGCCCCTCTTCCTTCTTCGTTTTGGTCGCTGAAAAAACACGAGGCACCTGTTATCCAACTAATACAAAGTACTATCCAGACAAGAGGCGCCTGTTATCCAGACAGCACGGAGTAATATCCAACATATAGAAACTGTTATCCAAACCACACAGAGTAATATCCACACAATAGACGAATGTTATCCAGACAAGAAATAAAAATATCCAAACACTGTGCAACTGTTATCCAGACAGAACAAAGTAATATCCAAACATTGAGCACTTGCTCTCCACACAGGACAGAGTAATATCCAATACATAAAAGTAACAGATCCTTAACAAGTAAACAAACTTTTGTTCAGCCATTCCAACATGGCAATTATAACATCTACTTAAACAGAAAAAAATTGCAAAGTTCAATTGTTTCCTTCACGGCGCATAATGGCGACTCTCCAGATACTACCCCGCCTTGTTTCCCATACATCCATCAGTTTTTCAGTCAATGACTCCAATGCCTTAAGCTACACATATATTGAAAAACAATTTAGTTCGCTACATGCACCCATGTCTATTAACCCACGATTTTGAGATGCAAAGAGAATATCTACATACTTCATCGTCCTCAAGGGATTCCAAGTCAACATCCGCCCACCAATCAGTAGCAGGAGCCGAGCTGCTCGACCCCGAATTCCAATCCATCCTGACACGCTCTGGACGGAAGCGGGATCTCACTTCCTCCCTTGACAACAACATGGGACCCAAGATATATTTGTCATCTACCTTGGGGATATTCGAGCACACCTTATCCACCCTTGGGTCGAACCAATAGCTGCAGGTCGGGATGGTTTTGGTGGCAAACCCTCTCACATTAAGGAAGTCTAGCAAATGGATCTACAAAAAACGTTCAGAACAGATATCAGAAATGAAATGAACTAATATCCCTAGAATGTTAACTAATATCAACCAATGAAGTAAACAATATCAACAATGTTAAAGTAGAATTAGAAGTTACCATTAAGAAGTGGATATCTCCGAGAGGCCATTGCTGTTTCCCACCCGCCCTAGCTTCAGCTTCATTTTCCTTAACCCGACCCAACTCAAACTTCAGATTACGGGCAACAAAACCACTCCAATTAAAAGTGGCAATGTCCTCCACCCTTCCAACCATGTACTCTGCATAATCGAGATCACAAAGTCGTGACATCTTCGGGGCGAGCATCGAACCAAGAGCCAGCAGCAAAAATTGCTTCACCGCTGCTGCAACAGGTGGTCGCCTTTTCGGTGCATGATCTGGACCACCACAGGCTGCCTCTCGAAGATCCATAACTTCTACATTTCGACTACGAGTACACTCCATGTTCAGCTCCTCCTTGAACATCTCAAGCATCTTGTCGTTCGATTTGACGACATCAATCTCAGCACCACCAATAGGCAGCCCGTATACACGGGCAACATCCTCAGCTTTGATGGTAAGCATCTTCTTGTCATCCCCTTCACCGAAAATGAATGAATTGGTGTGCACATCAAACTGTGCCATCAACGAATCGAACAACTTCTTAGGAACATTTGACAGACGAAGCTCCAATAGCCCTCCAAATCCAGCCTTCTCCAACTCTTTCTTGCAGGCTTCATAGTACCTCGGCTCTTCCTTCCAGTATTTTATAACATCTAGCAGAGATTTGGTGTGGCACCGAAATCTGTACCAAGGCTTGCCTTGTCCTAGAATGTGAACTACTGGTGCAGGTACTTGCCGGGGGACTTCAGCATCTTCTTCTTCCTCATCCTCCTCTGGCTGTGGCGGTGGTGATGGCTGTCGTGGATTACGTCGCTGTTTCTTCACGTTCGTTTTATCCCTGCACGGACAAATATCCAGAATATATCAAACAATTATCCAGGAAAGTAGCAACAGATATCATGCTGGCAAAAAACAATTATCCAAATGTATCAAACAATTATCCAGGAAAGCCACAACTAATATCATGCTGATCACAAACAAATATCCAGATAAATCAAACAGTTATCCAAGCAAGTCACAACAGATATCATGCTGGTGAAAAACTAATATCCAAATGTATCAAACAATTATCCAGGAAAGCCACAACTAATATCATGCTGATCACAAACAAATATCCAGATATATCAAACAGTTATCCAAGCAAGTCACAACAGATATCATGCTGGAAAAAAACAAATATCCAAAAGGATCAAACAATTATCCAGGAAAGACACAACTGATATCATGCTGTTCACAAACCAATATCTAGCTTTATCGAACAATTATCCAGGCAAATAACAACAGATATCATGCTGTCAAAAAACCAATATCCAAATATATCGAAAAATTATCCAGGCAAATAACAACAAATATCAAGCTGATGGAAAACAAATATCCAGATATGTCAAATAATTATCCAGCAATTCACAACTGAAATCAAGTTGATCAAAAACCAATATCCAGAAATATCAAAGAAACAATCCAAGCAATAACCAATGTATATCCAGAGATTTAGAGTGCACCGAAATCTGTACCTCGCCTTGCTTTTACCTCGACCTGCTCCTTGTGCAGCTCCTTCAGCTTCAGCTTCAGCTTCTTCTTCTGCAGCTCCACTAGCTTCAACTTCAGCATCTTTTTCTGCACGTTCTTCTACTTCGACTTCAGCATTTTCTTCTTCCTCATTTTCCTCTGGCCGTGGCGGTGGTGATGGCTGTCGTGGAGTCGGTCGCTGTTTCCTCTTTGTTGTTTTAGTCCTTGCCATTGATAAATCCCTGCACATACAAATACCCAGATCCTATCAAATAACTATCCAAGAAAGTCAAAACTGATATCAAGATACATCAAACAACAACCCAGGCAATAAACAACAAATATCCAGAAGGAACAGAATGCATATCTTGCTGAACAGAACAAATATCGGAATGAACACAAAGCAAATCCACAAAACTAAGAAATAACATCCACAGAATAATGAACTCATATCCAGTGACACATATAAATTACCACAAAATAAATATTTGACCCACGAACCCAAAAGACAAATCCACAAATGGAAAAACCAATCGTAGCCATGAAACCCTAACTCAAATCTATCCAAACGAAAATAAATATCCATGAAGACAAATCCACAAAAGGAAAACCCAGATCAAGTCGTAGCCATGAAACCCTAACTCAAATTTGTCGAAGCGAAAATGAATATCCATGAACAAAGTATAAGACTAAGACAGTTACCTTAGTCCAAATCCCGCCGAAATCCCGCCCTTCGTCGCCGCCGGTTCGCTCGCCGCCGCAGGAACTCGCCGCCGCTACGCTCGCCGCACCACTCGCCGCCGCTTCGCTCGCTCGCCGCCGCACCGCTGGTCCACTCGCCGCCGCTTCGCTCGCTCGCCGCCGCGCCGCTGGTCCCTCGCCGCCGCTTCGCTCGCTCGCCGCCGCACCGCTTGTTCCTCGCCGCCGCTTAGCTTTGTTCTTCGTCGGTTTCGTGAGAGGAGAGGGGAAGTGAGAGAGAGGGGAAGTGAGAGAGAGAGGGGAAGTCGAAGTGGGGGAGAGGCAACAGAGAGGGGAAGCCGAAGTGGGCGAAGGAGAGAGGGGAACTGAATTGGGGGTTTGATTTTTGAATTGTGGGCCCGGTGGGCTTGGTCAGCCATGAGCTCGACCAGCCGACCCAAACAGGCTAAACTTCCTCAACCAAAACCCAGCGCCATCTTACCCTCGCCCACGTGGACAGTAGATCCACCGTGTGAGTATATACTCACAGCTTAAGCTGTGAGCAGCATAACTATATTGCACGCGACCGACCTGTTTTTTTTTTTTTTTTTTACAAAGGGACATTGTATTTCATTTGCTTTGAGAAGCCAATTGTTACAGAAGAGGGGAAATTACATCAAGAATCTGTACCCATTGGGAGGGTAATGATCTCTTGGCACATGACCTAGCTACCCAATCTGCTTTACAATTGTTCCTACGCCTAACGTGCTTGATCCGAACCAGAGGGTTGGAACCCAAAATCTGTTTAATGGAGCCAATCCACGCTGCTGCTTTCCAGGGCCATGAACTCGGGCTTTCGTGAATGGCATTAACAAGTGGGAGACAGTCGGATTTGACGAGGCAAGGAGAGGAGAGGCTGGCCGCCAGACGCGCGCCCTCCAGAAGCGCCTTTGCTTCAGCTTCAAGCGGGGAAAAACAATGCATGGTCTCAGCTCTACCGTCACACACTTGACCGTGGCTGTTCGAGACAACTACGCCATAGGCCGCCTCCTTTGACTCACTGAAGAAGGAGCCGTCACAGTGTATCTCAAGATCATGAGTACTTGGCGGTGGTGAAGAAGGATTCGGTATGTGAATGAGCTGAGGAGCAGGTGAAACTGGCTTCCGTTTTCTGATTCATTTGTTAGTCACGTAAATAGCCATAGCAATTAGTATGTGAGATTTGCATTTGTTCAGTTGTATGTTAAAAGTAAAGGTTTATATAATTATATAACATTTTTATTTCTTGGTAGCGTAAAATAATTCAATTTATTATAATTATTCAACCATCCAAAGATCACGTTATATTGTTTTTGACATTCTCGCCAAATTATCGAGTATAATTGTTTTACGAAAAATGAAAGACAAACCTTATACCAAGGATCCGACTCCTATAAGTTTTGTGAAAGAACCCTTCTATTTAGTCATCATCGTCAGATATTACTGCACGTTTTCTTTTTGCTTCTTTGCATACAACATCATAATCTCCGCCAGTAGTAGGTCTTCATCTCTATTAGTGACATATTGGTCTAAAATATCACTTGACGCCTCCTCCTTCTCTTGCATTTGAATAATCTCTTTTTTGTTTTTCTGTATTTTATTGCCCACAAAGTTTTTATGTTAAAAAACATTTGCAAATACAAAAAAAAAAATTCATTGCCTTACAATTCACCTTGTCCAATCGCCATTTTTTTGGACTTTTATGCCAAAAGATTAATTTAAGGTATTGAATCCTCAAATATATTAAGTTAAAGTAAAATAATATAATTTTTCTATGAGTATGGTTACAAACTCAAATATAACCATAAAAATCCAACATATGCCATGCAATCGACTCCTAAGAGTTGTGTGAAAAAACATTTTGATACTCCTCATTGTCAGATATTACTGCACGTTTTGTTTTTTGTGTTTGTAAAGGTCGAATAATTTGTCGATGTCCAAGCCCAACACGTAGTAATACCATCTGATATGATTAAATTGTTATATTAAAATTGCAGCGTGCACCGTTTAATGATCTAAATGCCAACATAAGAGTTACATATGTGTAAAATATAATAGCCCATGCTGTAAATTACATGGACTCGGTTAATAGAACGGATGTCGATTCTCCCTGTTGGTAATTTTACTCAAATCCATATATATCCGATGATCATGGCTACCCAATATTTTTAAGAATGATCGGTTGACCCATTTTTATGAGGTTGTTCAATTTAGACATTCCAAATTATTCGGATTTGTAAAACACAATAAGTTGGGTATCAAATGTAAGCAAGAAATTTGTAGGTACCAAATTTATTTTGTAGCCATTTATTGAACTTTTATGCCAAAGAATTAATTTAAGGTGTTGAATCCTCAATAATATTAAATTCAAGTAGAATAATATAATTTTTCTATGAATATGGTTACAAATCCAAATCAAACTATAAAAATCTAGACCATGCCAAATAATTGGGTATGAGTACTGTAGTACTTCAGATGATTCTGATTACTACGCCATCAAGTGTCTTTTTCCACCTTCCACAAATTAATGGATTAAATGAAAGGGAAGTAGGTGAATTAATGATCAAATCACGAAAACGCACTTCTACCATCATTTGTTGCATAATATTTATTAGTCACGACATCATATTATATTAAAAAGGCCCACACCCATCAAAATGTATTGCCCATGCATAACCAGAAAATATGATATTTAATTGAAAAAAATTAAGTCCTTCCGAAAGTAAACGAAGTAGGAAAGTAAAATACTTCTGCCATTCAAAAGGATCACCGTCATAGTATTTTCCGAATAGCCTAACCGACTCATAAATAAGCATGAGATAGACCACGTTTTTTAAACTTAATTGCCATCACATCTGCAATGAAAGAAATTATAATCAAAGTAGGAAAATAATAGTCTGGGAACAAATCATGAATTCAAGATACTTAAATTAAAACTATGGAATATAACTTACATGCACATGTTTTCCTGAAAATTTTCTTCTCCTAGATCTCCTTCAGTAATTGATGTAGCTTCAGCTTGAAAACTCTTACGATGACATTAGCTCTATTAGGATCTTTCCTAGTAGTAGTCTTTATCAAATCAAACATGTATTGAATCTCGGGCCAAGTAGGATTGCATGTAAATGTAATGAAAAGATCCGGATATCATTCCCATCTACAAATCGCCATAGCATCCTGGAAGCTTTCATACTTATATCGAGGACTACCTGTATGCGATGAAGCTAAAATCACATGTTTCCCTTTCAAACTGGTGTCTGAATCACCTCTCAAATAAGAATCCAAATGACCTTGGTAGTAATGTTGCCGCAACTTTGTTTGGTTGTTTTTAATCCAATCTAAACGTCAGCCTCAACCAATGCATATGCATTAACAACATATTGTTGTAACAACTTTCCACACAACAGTAATGCGTTCGATTCTTCCAGTCTGGTTTGGAGTCTATAACTGTAAAAATCATATTGAGTCACATTGTTTTCATTGTATTCATCTGCATCCTCATCCTTAGAGTATGGAATATTTGTGTGTCAACCATCCTCGCGGTGTGGGAATGATATGAGATATTGCAAAGTCATTAAACTTGGGTGATGTATACTAATTTGTTCCAGTTCATGACTTTGATACTGAACAACAATATTAGGAGGAAATGTTCGCTCCACAATATCATCAACAATTAAAGCAGTGATCTCATTTGCATATGGGAAATCATATTCTCTACCATCCCCTTCTCTTTTAGCAAGCAATCTTATTTCAACTTGTTCAACATTGGTGTCATTCAGTCTATCCCTTGCAGACTGAAATGTCTTTACTAAGATATTACTTGAATCTAACATCTCGTGCAATTGTTCAATAATTGAATCACGCAAAGGATTTAAATATAGATATGTAGAGAAAAACTCTAACTTGTTTTGGAGTTCATTGCCAGTGTCATAGGTGTAGAGTTGTGCAAATTTTGGTATGTTCCTTTCAGTAGGTATCAAGTTGCCGATTCGATGATATACTTGGAATGTTCCTTTCACAAACTCTAACATTATAAGAAATGAAGGAAAATGAAATACTGAAAAATATCAATAAACCCGGAAATCTCTAGAACGCATCACACGAAGACGATTATAACGATTTTCGGCAAATTTGATGGACCTCAGCAATATATTTCTCTTAGTTTGTAAGTTATCCATCTCATTTAGCAGTCCTGTATTGAAATTAGTAAAATAAGCAATCCTAGTAGCTAACACATAATTTGATAACATATAAATAAAAAACAAACATGAAATAAATGGATTACCAGTAGGAATGCTGACAATTTTTCCATATTTACGTTTTTGCCTTATACATAAAGCACGTTTCCTTCTTGCTAATTTGGTCAATGGTTGATTAATTTTCTTATACTCAGACTTATGTGCATCAATTTCTAAAAAAATGGAAAATAATAGTTCATTGAGAAATTATAATCAATTTATAATTCATCAATATTCATACCATCAGAAAACGTTTTTTCACGTCATATAAAGACTGCTTAAAATTGAC